GTGTGTGTGTGTGTGTGTGTGTGTGTGTGTGTGTGTGTGTGTGTGTGTGTGTGATCTTTCAGTGGATTAAGGGGAGTTGGGAAACAGTGACCAGCATCAGTGAAGGAGGATCAGCTCTGATGGAAGCTTCTGGATGATGTCAGAGGTTCAAACTGCTCCACTTTWATGACATGGATGCAGCTCAGCTAACTTTATAATTATAAAAAAAAACAGCTCCAACCTCTGAGGATCAGCRAGATTTTCCTGCAGCTTCTTACAAAGTTAAGACCCTCTGTGACCTCCAACATGATCATGGTCCTCAGAGTGAACAGATGATCTGACACTGACACCTTGTGGTCTCTTTGAGGCTGCAGACCTGACAGGACTCACATCTGCATCACTTTTTAAAACAATGTCAACAATTACAAATCCCATTTTATTYGACAGAAAAGAGCTGTAAGRATTATAACCAGAACACTTTACAGTCACCCATCAAATATTTTGCTTTGTCAGCTGAAATTATTGAAACTTCATGAGTTGGTTGATTATAGTATTTTGCAGGTAATAAGGCTCATAAAAAAACATATTACCTCTAAACATACAGTTAAAATTTGTTAAAAGAGAGAGGTGTTATGATCTTAAGGGGATTGAGATGTTTGTGAAACTTAAATTTTGAACTAGTTTAAAGGAACGATGGACGTCAGTTCAGGGAATAAGATTATGGAATAATCTGGAAAGTGCTGTTAAAATGCCTGATCAATGTTTATGTTTAAGAGAATGATTAAAATAAAATTGGTTTGTTGAAGAAATATGAAAAAGGATAACATGTACTCATACAAWTTTTTGTTCGAGGATTGTTATTGTTGATGTTTTGTTTTTGTTAAAGACTATTAGTATTGTTTATTTTATCTTTTCTTAAAAATGGGCAGAAATGAGATTCTGTCTTCTTTCTGCTGCCTTTCATTTTATTTTTGATTTGAACTTTTAGAATGTAAAATTTCTGTTTTTGAATGAGATGAAATGAATAAACTTGGAAAAAAAACTAATTTCATCCTCATCWTGTTCAGCAGAAAACCATGAAAGTGTTCAAACACCTGCAGGATGTTCAGTGAAGGACAAGAACAAAAAGTGAAGCTGTAAAAGTGACACTGTGTGTGTTTCGTCACCCTTAGAACAATTAAAGCTTATTGCAACACGTTGGTGACRAACAGAAAGCCACACGAGGCTGGAAGAACATCGTGTCAACATGTTTATTACAGAATATAACTTTATGACACATTTGTCTCAATGTTTCACGAGGAAACTCAGATAATTTCCCTGCCTGGTGATTACGAACRGCAAAATTGTTTTATTTGCGATTCTGCTGCAGCTAATTATGAACACTTTGGAGCTGCGAATGGGAACTCCAGAGAGCCGCGAAATTAGCTGCGATTTCCAAACATTTCAACCTTCCTGGAAACCTGCAGTCGAATCTGAGCGGTTATGAGCRGAGCGGGTCTGCTGCGGCCTTCATTAAACAAATTAACGTTCCTAATGAGCTTCCTGCCTYGTGCACGCTTTCACGGGATGTGTTTCAAGTGGTGGCCGGCGCACAGGAGAGCTGAAGAGTCTACTTTGGGAACTCGTAGGGGCTGTTCTTGAACAGGAACTCTGCCTGGAAGGAGAGAGGAGCGTCAGGAGGACAGAAATGACAGATGTGACTGAGCMGAGGAGCAGAGGAGTACCAAGAACTCCACGGGGTTCTCTGGCTGACGTCTGTAGCACTCGATCAGACCCCGGGTCAGCGTGGGCATCACGTGCTCCATCAGGTAGCTCCTCATCGGGCCCGACTGCTCCTCCATCTCCTGCTCCTCCCGCAGCCTCTCCTCCTGCAGACACAGAGTCTGACCCAGGAAACAGTCAGCCACCTGCAGTTTCAGGCGGCAGGATTCTCTGCTGCACCTACCCACTCCTCCCAGCGTGCAGCCCTGCTCCTGGCCTCCTCCTCCGCCTCCCTCTGCTCCTCCCTGGCCCTCTCCTCGGCCTCCTTCATCTTCTTCTCGGTCTCCCTCCTCCGCTCCTCCTGCACCTCCCAGGTGTTGGGGCCGTAGGTCCTGGGGGGGCCCAGCGTGTCGAAGATCTGTTGCATCATCAGCCAGCAGTCCTGCTCCTCRCTGCTGCTGACCTCTGGAACACGGTCAGAGACACGATGGAGAAAAAACAACATCAGAGATGTGTGCAAGTCTTTTTTTTTTTTTTTTGTAAGTACAAGTCAAGTCTCGAGTCTCTTGACCTCAAATCCAAGTCTCGTTGCATGCATCAACTGGCAGTTTGATCAAAGGTTTCCTATCTATATCAGATTATTCTATAATACTATAATTTAATCAAATATTATAATTTAATCAAATATTAAAACAGTATTATGTTTTAATTATACTGTTAAAACATAATACTGTTTTAAAAATACAGATAAGGTTAAGGTTGAAATAACAATCAAGCATTCAGTTTTGTATTTTGCACTTGTAATCTTACAAAAGCATACAGTAATTATACATTAAAATACTGTAATTATACTGTAATTATACTTTAACTATACTGTAACTATACTGTAACTATACTGTAACTATGCTGTAATTATA